ATGCGTAGGTTCCCTCTGGGTGCTTCGGTTTCTCCTATACCACTAAGTGAGTGAAGGATGGAGATGATCTGCAATGTGCCAGAGTATTTGGCGTCTCGCTTCTGTCATCACAGTTTGTAAGTAATGTTTATCTACAGTATATAGCGCATTTTACAGACCAAGGTCACCCAAAGCGCTTTACAATTTTGTGTTAGTGGAGAGAATATAAAAACAACTGCTAACTAATAACTTATAATAATGTAAAGCTCTTTGGATTAGCTTTCTCTGTAGAATGAGCAATATAAATAGAAAAATAGTTACTTGCTAGCAACATGCTGGCTTCATTTTATAAGAAAACATGTTTACATGCTTGAGAAAGATACTGAGAGTCACTATTTGACTCTCTGGGCTGAGAGCTGATTGGCTGAGTGAGTTCTCTCTGTTTCCCTTTTCTGTCTAAAAAGATGTGCCAAAAATACATGTATGTGAAAACTAATAATAGAATCAAAGTAGTTCCATGGTTGGGCTTGAAAGTGAGGTAGCCCAGCTTTAATGCAAATCGACTCTACCGCAAGGCAGCTGTGTACAGAAGTGAGCGTTGTATAAATTAGCACGTCTCTCCTCAACTAAAGCTTTACTTTTCTAACTAAACTCGATATTTCTGGACGTAACATCTGTCAGCCATGGCTTTCAACATACACCTCACAAAAGCCATCTTATCATTCTTTGCCACCGTATTTCAATATCAAAGTAAAGGAATAAATATATTCAACTGGCACCTGGTAATAGAGCCGCACGCCCACAGAAAACAGCAGCACACATTAACATACATGCATATACAAATAGTCCAAATGAAATGCTGTTGAATCCCCCTCACTGTACATCTCCCCGGCTGCCATTAGAATATTATCCTCTATTTACAAATTCTTCAGGCCTAGAGTGGAGTGGCACTATATCAATAAGTTCCATCGCATCGTCAGCAGAGCCATACTGTGCCCCCAAAACAAACATATCTACAATTATATGCAATTATTCGCCTTTGTTGAAACTTTCAGTGCAAGTTCTTGCGGCTTCCTTTTCCACGCTTACTGTAAGTAACAGCATAAAGGTTCACCCCGCTTTTAATGCGCGGACCACTTTACTACGATGGCTAAAAGCCGGTCCACTTTACCGTGATGAAATACACAAGAAATGGTTTTTCACCACGGACCCTTCCTGCGTGAACTGGGTCCCAGGTTTTCTATGAAGCAAGAATGAATGTCTCCCAGCAGATCGGTGCCAAGACAGAGGTGAATCTGGCCAAGTTTTTTCTCGTCATCCCAGATCTCATATGGGATGACGGGTTTGTTCAGTTCGGTCTCATATACTTATATTTAGCTTGTCTTTATATCTCCTCTGATCTTCTTGTGTTAAAGTGCTTATACACGGTGCATTTCGCCCACTGAGTCTTTTAAAAGTAGTCGTCGCATCCATGCTTCAGTATGTGCCACTCTGTCTTCTTGCCACTCAGCGCATTTATCAACATTTATGGACATTGATCATCTGCCCCTTATGGCTCTATGTGTTTTTATTAATCATAGCATTTCTTGTGTTCTAACTGTTTGATTCTCTGATCTGTGTAGTCCTTCGCGATAACTATTGTTGTGATTCAGGGCTATACAAGAATACATTGAATTGAAATTGAATAGTTTCATCGCTGGTAGAAAAATACAAAAAACACGGCTCTAATTGCACGTTTGGATTGACAGGTATTAGGCGCACGTGTCGTAAGGGCGATGCTATGGGAAAAGGCGCAAATGATTCAATCAGCAAGTGGCTTTATCGGGGGTCATTCTGTACTAAAGCGAAGGATGATGAAGAGGAGCCAAGCCTTAATCTTGGTCACAATAGAAGGGAACAAAGGCGTACTTACAAGCACTATCAGCCACAAATATCAAATCAGCTCCAGCAGCACCTAATCCCAGCAGACTGCATTGTTGACTCAGTGAACCTGCGCCCAGTCCCAGCACAGATACGAGTGGCGAGCAGGTATACGCACCCACCATATGGACACAACAGCTCAAAACAGTCCCCATGTAAATATGCCTATCAAATCAATGTACTGTATTTACCATAGGGGTTGAACATTCATATTTATTTTCTTAAAGGATGATATTGCTGTTGTCGTTGCCATTGTCCAAGGAAAAACAGGGTGTTATAGTTTAGCATAGGGCGATGCCAAGAACCTCATGAGACCATTTTCCTTTTTTCCCCCACTTGCCAATGCAGGAGGGTCTGTTAGTTTTGTGATGTCTAAGGAGCGAAAGGAGCAAAAGGACTGGGGTGATGATTCAGGACACTCAGCATTTATGGACATTGGTCATCTGCCTCTTATGGACCAAAACCTATGTGTTTTCTGTTCTATTTCTTGTGTGTGAACTGTTTGATTCTCTGATCTGTGTTGGCAAATTCAACGGTTTTGTAAAGTCCTCAGAGATAACTACTGTTGTGATTATTTTTGACAACTTAAAGGAAAAAGCAGCACATGCAAAAACCCAAAATTTCAACAGCTCAAAACAGTCGCCTATGAAAATATACCTACCAAATCAATATACTGTATTTGCCATAGGGGTTGAACACGTTTTGGGGAAATTATTCTTAAAAATCGATGACATTGCTGTCGCCATTTCTGTTGTCAAAGAAAAACAGGGCGTTACTGTTTTTTATAGTTTGTTTTATTTATGCACTTGTCTTGTGCACACTGGGGACTTTTGCAAATGCTTTCCAATGTGGTTTTACTGCAAATGGCAAATAAATAAGTCTGAATCTGATCTGAATCTTAAGATGGCAAGACTTTCATGACGCGATATGCATCTCCATATACTGATATTTAGCTCTTTGTACATTATGTGTGTGCATATGTGAGATTCATGCATATCCTTGGTGAAAGTGGTGTCTAAATAGATAAGTAAAGGTTTTGACGTCCTGAATGTTATTCTACAGAAGCTATTTGGCATTGCTCATGTAAACGTGAAACTATGGGAGGAGCAGGGTTCTCCCTCAGGTAAATGGAAAGTTCTTAATTCTATGAGACTAAAGACTTAAAGATTTGTTCTGACTTTCTTTTGCTGATGATGAGCACATTTGGTTGCATTTTTGTCCAATGTAGATACATGCAATTTACATTATCAGAATACAATTGTCTATGTTTTCAATGTTTCAGCCTAATTCATGTAAATGGTGGTATGATATAGCTCTCTTCTGCCTCTCTTCTGCGGCATCCACATTGGGAGTGAGGTGGTGTAAGTGTCTTGCTCAAGGACACGTGGCAGCTGGTTTTACACCTTTAATCTACAGGTCATGTGATCTGACCTCTCCAACAATGTTTATGTCAGTAACAGGATCTGAACCCCCAACCTTCAGCTCAGAAGACTGTATTGTATATATTGTAATAAATATAAATAAAACCCATTAGCCCCAGTTATTAAATGGTCTTCAAATACTATGAGACCACACATCAAAGTATTTCACTTTTTGTTGAAAAGTACATTTTATTTCTGTTGTTCAGTCGACAGGGAAGAAATGCTCTGTATTCTCAAAAAGTGCCTGGATAGCAAACAATTAATAATTAAAATGTCTAAAGATTGAAAAATAAAACGGTAATTCCTAACAACAATAAACAACGTTAATAGCAACAAATGAAGAGCCCTGGATAATTGTTTGTTTGTTATTTTCTTTTGTCTTGTCTGTCTTCATGTTTTAAATTGGACCTAGAGTCCTAAAGTTGAATTGAATTGAATAGTCTATGTACTTCTCTCAACAACAGCAATATTTACACCACATTCCTTAATTACATGTAGTGGATTCTAAAGCAGAGCACATAAATATGCCACATATTTCCCCGTTGATAAGACTCTACTGAGATAAAATAGTCACAACCACAACATTTTTGTGCACTTGTTTATAGTATTTTTTAAAGAAATGTTATGTGGTTTTTCTCTTTGCTTTTCATGCATGCCTTTTTCTACTTAACATTTTTTAACTTGTTTGCACCGAGAGCCAAAGCAATTTCATGGTTTGTGGTCATACCTTTATGTGAAAACCAGATCCTGTCAGACCTCTGAAGCTATGCAGGACAGGACCTGGTTAGTACTGTGATGGGAGACCTCTGGGAACATGTGGGGCGGCTGCGGCTGTTAAGAACAAGGAACGATGAGGATTCACAAACACTGCCGACATGACCTCACATGTCATGCATCGGTGCAATATCTTGAACTAATGTCGGAACGTGCAATATGGACGGACCACATGTGTCACTGTCACTTTGTCCCATACCCTCATGCTGCTAACATGTACAGATTAATACACACAACTGTATATAACTGGCACTAGAATATATAGAATTTTATACTTGCTTCTTTTTATGCTAAAATTGGGCGACAGTAGCTCAGTTGGTAGAGCATTGGCCTTTGGGCCTGAAGGTCGTGGGTTCGAGCCCACCATAAGACCTACTTCACGACTCCCACTGATGACTGCTGTCGTTGTGTCCTTGGGCAAGACACTTAACCCTACTTTGCCCAAAGCCCCAACTGAAAGATCCCAGCTCCTGTGGACTCACCACCTGCAGGAGGATCAGTGACTGAGGGGCTGGTGCTCTGTGTACTGGGTGCAGCTCTGACTGCCACCCCCCCGACCCAGAAATGGATTAAGGGGAAGAAAATGGATGGATGGATGGATGAATTCTTGTTTCCTCCTTTTGCTAAAGTTGGAGATTTTAGACCTCTTTCCTTATTATGCTAAAATTAGAGATGACATATACTAGTTTTTATACTAGAGTTAGAGATTTTATTTTATTTTATTTGATTATTATTATTCCTGTTATTCACAATGGCAATACAAATCTTTCTGATTCTGATTTAATCACAAGCACAAACACAACTAAACTTGACATCAGACAATCCCAGCATATATGTACACATGTTTAACACACAACCATACATCGTACACCTTCCAACTCCCCCAAACACAAACAAAAGAAGCTCTTATTTACTGCCATACTTGGAGTTGTCAGGGACTTGTTTGACTGGTCCCGATGCAGCCGCTGGTGAAGGAGCCTGGCGGTGGACGTCCTTGCACAGGATGGCTCTTGGCTGAAGGGAAAAGGACACTGGCAACTTCATTATCCCACAATAACAGGCTAATTATTGTGTTTGTTAGCTACAAATCAGAGCACAACAGACTGCATGTCCCTGTCCTGTTTGAGCATCTTAATTACTTACCCCCCCACACACACCCACACCCCCTCCACGCTCTCTCTGTTGCCTCTGCTGCTGTTGTTATTTAGCATATAAAAGGCAGCGGCTAATTGTCTGGACTATAAATATTCGCCATGCAATTAGTGTTCTGGCCGGCCTCGACGCTGCGTTATCACCTCACTGTAGGCTACGAGGAGCAGACGGCATTCTGTGCGTCGAAGGGCAGTTTGATAGTAACGACCAATAACAGAAGGAGTTTGTAAAGTATAAGAATATTTGAAGTATAGTGCATGAGATTCGGTGAGAGCGATAGGTAGTGGCAGCTCAAAATGTATCGGGAGCAGGGGATGTCTTGTTGCTACTCTATTTGTAATGGTTAGTTTAGATAGAGACAGATTTAGTTTTGCTTATTTTGATCGGTCCGTTATACACTGAAAACCTGTGTTATCTGAACAATGTTAAAATGGCTCGTTAACCGGGCCGGGACAACAATGTGAAAGAGAGGAGGGTTGTTGAAACTAGGAGGACAGAAAAGTGTAAAAAATAAAAGGGTAAAAATAAACTTCTGACTTTTCTAAATCAGTCTTCTAAAGTCACAGCGCCATGCAAATCTTGAAACACAAGCAGATGCGCAGCAGCTACTGTGTCTTTGTAAAGTCTATGGAGAAGTAAAGTGTGCAGCGCATCAGCACGCATTGTGCTCCAGGCTTCTACCACGGGCAAGTAGGGACTTTTAGAATAACTTAAACAAATTGTGAAAAAATGACTTCCCTGACTTATGGAAGGTTTCCAAATGCTTCCTGTTTTAGGGAAGATGTTTGTTTTGCACTTCACAGTTAAGCAATACATTTCTATTAATACGCAAGATAGTGAACACCACCAGGTCAATGTGTGAATCTCTCTCAATAATAAAGCAAAAAAAAAAAAATGTTTAGATACAAATTTAAGTAAAATTATTCAAACCTAGCATCTCTCTAACATCTGAAAACAACCTGAAAACTGTGGCTCAGTTCAATAGAATAAAGCCAGACATGGAGCACTTTGAGCAGGGCCCACAGAGAGAAGTATCCTGGAACCAGCACTTCTGAAGGAGAGGAATTTGGGGAACGCAGGAGACCTCTCCAGTCTGTGCTTCCAGTCCAACCAATCATACCAGCATCTGGAAGAGAGCCCTTCAGACGCAGAAGGACGTCAAGTTTTAAAACAAACCAAAGAGTGGGCTCAAATCCTTATAGACTGCTCTGGAGCTGTCTCTTAAAAACCCTCATTAAATCTAGAACGAAGTGGGGAAAACACCATTGCCAAGACATTACCGCCCTGTATTGCCTCACTCACAATCACCATTCCAGCAGATAAACTCACTTTAGGCCAGAATGTGGAATGAAAAGTTCTGACTGAATGCAACAAGTTAATTTAACCCACAGAGTTTTGAATTGACAAAAAAGAGAAGAAGCAAATGAAGAGGCTGTGTGAGAGAGGCCAAGTGGAGCCAGGAGACTCGTTAGGCCGCTCCTGAGAGCCGCTAATTGGCCTGTCCAGAGAGAGTCACTGCAGACAGGGAGGAAGCCTGTGGGACCCCGAGCTGAAGGGGTGTTCCAAGTCACATGAAAGTTTGTGAGCATGAATGTACCATAATTAGATTAATAAGTCGCTTAATTTATGGCAGCAGAGGATATCAGCAGCTTCACATTAGAGGCAGGCCAGAAGATTAGGCTCGATTGGCGTTTTGAAAACACGATTAGCCCCCGACACAAAGAGCAGGCTCGTTCACAGGTCTCTATACCACAAGGGCTGGATTAGAGGGATGTGTTGAATAATCAGACTGGCCCTCATGCTCCTCTCAGGGCTCCAGCACGACCAGGGTGCCCAGTGAACACACACCTCAGTGCACCCAACAGCCTCGGATTAGAGAGTCCAGTGCAATGTGCCCCAAAAGAGTTTGAGCCAGGACCAAGGAGAGTCCGGGGCAAAGATAGTTCAAAACATAAGTACAAACACAACTTCAACAGACACATACACACATGTTTCCTCCTGTCACCCATTCAACACAAGAGACGAGATAATTGGGAACAAAACAGTCACAAAGATACTGTATATACTGTATTAAGTAATAGAGTAGAACAGTCTCTGACCCAACACCTCTCTCCCACTACTCTATGTGCTGCAGGCATCACTCTCTTTCCTCTACGTACTTCCTCAGCACTCCTTTTTTAAGCAGTTATAAAGTTAGTTTTATAAAGAACACCTTTATATGCATTTATTGAACTGTAATTTCTCCATTGTGAGGATCATAAAGGTATCATTCATTCATTCAAATAATCTGTACATTTGATTCAGAAGGTGGTCAGGCCTGATGCAGCTATGTCACCCTGGAGCCCGTCATTACTGTAGGTGAGTGTATAGTCACTAGTTTGTACATCCCAGGAGCTTTAGGAGCTGTGGTGTCATAGCTAATTGATTGTTCCTCCAGTGTGCTGCCGAACACCAATAAAGACCTGAGCATATGTCTTTAGGTCTGTCGCGGCCACAGCGCGCGCATCATGAATGCAGCGAGTGCTAAGCTCTAGATCCCTTTATCCTCAACATCCTTCACATCCGGCCTCTTTAAAAAAGTGGATTAAAAAACTGATGGGCCCTGAGCCAAGATTTTTGCAAAGTAGCCCCATCCATAATAGAGAGGTTACAGCTGTTTCTATGCCATGGATACGCCGTAGATAAGAACTAGAGCATTGGTTCAACAATATTCAACAATAACAAAACGATACCATATGACCATGACCACATTCACAATTTATGACAAAGAAATTAAGACATTTTTACTTTGTTCTCAGGTTTAATGCGTATGACAGGTCTCCATTGTTAAAGAATAGGAAAATCAGTGATAATTGATGGAAGTAAGCAGCCTTCTCATGACATCAAGCTATAGATAGACAGAACTCATCCAGAAGTTTGGCACAAGTTACGATGATGAGTTTATCATTTGGTTGATTGGTAACATTCCAAACATGACATCACCAATCACAATCAGGAAGTAAAATTATACATCTAAAATAAGGTCAAACCAGGATTTCTTTGTGAGTATGTATTTGCAAATTTAAAATGTAATGATGTCAAGGTTGTCTGATGTTAATTCCAACATGGCTCAGGATACAGGACAGTCCTTGGAACAGAACCCTGCCCCAAGTGGACCTGCCCTAGTGTCCTTTTCAATACACCTCAGACACGAAAAGATTGTTACACAAAAAATAAGGGAAAATAGGTGCAAAGAGGGGGATGGGTGGATGGATCAAACTGCTAAGATAACCACTCACACACATACACATACATACTGTACACACATACATTACTGCACACACACACACACACTCACACGCCACTGCTTTCTGTCACACACAAACACACACACACACAAACAACACACACACACACACACCACTGCTTTCTCTCACACACAAATACACACACACAAGAAGCACTCATACATTACTGCACACTCACACTCTCGCACACAACATACACACACAACACACACTCACACACACACAACACACACCCACACAACATACACACACCACTGCATTCTCTCACACACAAACATACAAACACAACAAACACCTATACAATACTGCACACTCACACACTCATAAACACGTACACACACACATGCACAAAACACACACATACAGTACACAAAACAGCACACACACCCACACACAATGTAGTATGTTCTTCATTGCTGCCTTATTGTATTTGTTTGTATGCCTGTATTTTCCCTAATAAATGCACTTTTAACACAAAAATGGGGAAACCAGCTGCACTCATCAAACCATTTACACTTTACTTATAACTGCGGCCAACGCTCAAATTCAACGCACATTTTCCCTGACACCACTCGAGGAGAAGTTATATTTACCCTTGAAGAGCGGCAACTTTTACATTTGCCAGTGCTGTTGTTACTGCAGAGGAATTATCCGCGGTGAATATGCAGGGCCATGCGCGGGTGACAGTGTGCCGTGTCAACATGTCCTCCAGCTCGCTCTGACGGTCCAGCCTCTGAACTGCTGCTGCGAGACTGGCCCGGGTTCCCTGCACTGTCTGCAAGAGAAATAAGGATGTAACATAAGCCACCAAACAGAAAATACAATTGTAGTGTGTGTGTGTGTGTGTAGTGTGCGTGTGCGTGTGCGTGTGCGTGTGTGTGTGCGTGTGTGCGTGGGTGCGTGTGTGTGTGTGCGCGTGTGTGTGTGTGTGTGTGTGGTCGTTATTCACTATAAAGCTGGTAGTCCTGAGAAAGCTTCCAGACTTTTATTCTCAGAGATTTACTTCTTTAATTGTGCAAGGTGGGCAGCCAATGTGGAGCTCCATTTTTTTCAAATTTCTTTATTTTTTAAGCTGGGGTAACTAACTGTTTTGTTTAATACAAAATATATGTTGTTTGTTCTAACAGGGTCTAGTAAAAGGTAAAAAAAATGAACAAATCGGACCACAACTGGCTGACTGAAAGAATATCTTAAGCATTCTTGTTATAAAGAGCTTTGATGCGTTGGGCTGAGAGCTGATTGAGTAAGGATAGTTTTCTCTTTTTAACTTTTCTGCCTGATAAAAATGATCTAAAGATGTGAAGCCAAAGAGTACATGCATGTGAATACTTGTGAAAGTTAGTAGTTAGATGGAGATAGAGCCTGCTACGTAAGGGATTTCTTTTCCTTTTTTCTGGTTATAAAATTAGGTTTTCCAGCTTTACGGTATCAATAAATTCAATGCTTCCACTGAGGCATTGTTCCTGTTGATCTTCTGTAACTGACTTTGAGGTGAGAGACCAGGCTGAAGTCAAATGCTCCTCTTTTAGTGACCTCTTGTGGCTGGACTAAAACCAGTCAAAAGTTGCAACTGAAACAATTCTCAGTGGTACCCATTTGGCCATTCTTTCAGTGATTCAGTGATAAAATAATCCATACCAATACTTTATACTGAGCCATATTCATGATTGCATTAGATAATCCTCTCTGGAGTAAGTTTTTCTTTTGTTGCTAAGACCAGTGTTTTTCAACTAGTGTACCGTGGCCCGATGGTGTGCCTTGAGATGTTTATTAGTGTGCCTTGGAAATGATCTAATATCACCTGCTCGGTCCAAATCATGTGAAAAGAAAATAATGTGAGATGATTAGAAAGATTGTTTTTGTGCTTGTTTGATTTGCTATAAAATACACATTGATGAGACTGACTTTGTGAATGAAGGCTGTAGAGTTTCAATGTTGTATCAAATTCAGTTGGTGGTGTGCCATGTGATTTTTTTTTTGCAATGACAAAGAAGTGCCACCGCTTAAAAAGGTTGGGGAACACTGGCTTATAGACTGAGCCCTGGTGATATAAGTACTTGCCCACAGTACTTCAGGGTTTGATTCACTCCTTCAGCACTTTGTCCAGTGGTCACCCAGCTCCATCCTTCCACAGTCCCTCCCAGCTCAGCTCCCTTCGCACCCTCAGCTTGTTATCTAACAGCTGTTCCCCTGTATCCGCCTGCATTTATATATATATATTTCTATATCTGAGCTATCGAACAAACAAGGAGAAAACAAAATAAGCGTCAACCATGCCCGCTCTGCTCGGCTAGCTCCCGGCAGCTAGCCTCCTCCATGCACCAAATTACCAATCCTCGCCATCAGGCCGACAGCTGGCAGGCTCCCCGCGGGAATGCCAATTAAGTTTGTAAAACATTTAGACAACAAAACTGTACAAGACAAACGCATAGTCCCAAAGAGGCGGCCATGTTCAGAGCTCCCCCGTACACCCCCCCATCTGCACGGGCCCAGGAGAGAGGCAAATATGCCCTGAGAAATACATGAATACTAAATCAAAGCCATTGATGGGCTCATGCTAATGTGTTGTTATAACAAATTAAGAGATTATGTATTATTAATAAGATCATGTCCACATCTGATAGAGATTGACAGCAGAGATTTTCAGGAAAACACTAACTGACAGCTCTGTAATGATCGCTCTGAGCACTTGGCTTATGCATCCAAAGAATCCAAGTACAGAGGAAATACACGCTGCCACAGAGCCACAAAAATTTAAATGATAAAGTGGAGCGTTTTGTTAAAAATACTGGAAGTTCGGATATAAATCTCGGCTTGTTTTGACTATTATTTAATCAAACAAAGCAACCCCCCCACCTCAAGTCAGGGGCGTTTCTGGAGATTGACTTGGAGGGGCACAAGCCAACCATAAAAGGGGGCCCGAGAAGAATCATTAATTTGAGCTGGCTTGTCTTTTTAACTTGTCTTTTTATGTATTGTTTTATTTCATTTGGTGCACACTGGGGTAATTTTGCACATGTGGTATTACAATGTGGCGTCACTGCAAATGGCAAATAAAATCGATCTGAATTTGAAAAATAGGGCTTTTTTATTTTTTCATTTTAGCTTATTCTTATTAGAAAACATATTATATTTTTCATACTTGAAAGAAAGATTCCTCTGAGTCACTATTTGATGCTTTTGATCTAAGGCCAACAAATACATGAATCTGAAAACAAGTGATAGACCCAAACTGTTTTGAGGGCTCGGAACAATGAACGGATTCCATTACAGTTTAATTAATGTGGTTCGGAAGTTAGATATCTCAGCTTCAACCCTCAACCATTTGGTGGATCATTTTTTGAGTCACGATATCTACTTGAAGCGTGGAACTGAGATCTACCTCATTGGGGCATCTCTATCACTTGGTTATAGGCACTTTACCGTCAAACTGCATCTCAACCATTTTTTTAGTTTGAAAAAACTAGGAGTAAAAAAAAAACAATACAAAAAAAAACATGAAAACAAATTATTCATGTTATCAGTGCTCCTACATCATAAAAAAAATACATTGTTTTCTTCAGAGAGTGAACAATAAAGGGTTCATTTAGAAAACATTAGACAAAACTATACTAAAAATATCATGCACAATGTATGTGATGGAAGTCATGTGTGTGGCATCTGCATCCACATCTGTAGCTGCAGTATGAGGTCTGGGGCGTGGGGCTGGGATTATCAGTCTGATGAGCAGCTTTGAGAGGAGTGAACTTGTGAGTGGGTGAATGCGCGTGTACGTACAGGGCATACAGAGTCCCGCGGCGCCAGTGACCCACGCTCCTCTCTGCTGTTCCACGGAGCCACTCGGAGGCAGCTCTCACTCACGATCAGCCTGTGACAGGATGACAGCATGAGTAACGCACGCAGACAGGATGGAAATGTCAAAACATGCCACCCTCAGCCATATCCCAGCCTCAGGCACACCCACTATTAGCACTAGACTAATTAACAAGTTTTATTTATTTATTTACCCCTAACAACCATGACAATTACATACAGTAAGAGAATGGTAGTGGTGGGGGGAAAGCGATATTTTGTACACGCGAATTGTACAGTAGGGCAACTAAAGTATTGCGATATTAAATTCAATATTTATCTGTTTTACTTATGAGTTTGACTGCTTTTTGTTAGTCTAGAAGTCTATTGGCGACACTTTGGCTGAGTGGATAGCACTCTCGATTCTCAGCAAGAAGGGTCCTGCGTTCTAATTCTGGTCGGAACAGGACCTTTCTGAGTAGAGTTTGCATGTTCTTCCTGTGTCTGCATAGGATTCCTCCGGTTGCTCCGGTTTCCCCTACCACTGAAAACATGCACAATAGGTAGGAATTTTATGACTGAATGGATGGAGCTGGTTTGATGCGCCATGTATGTTCGGCGTCTCGCTTCCGTCATCCTTGTGTCAAGAGAATGAAACGATATTTTAACTCTGAACATTGTAAAGCTTTACTTTTCTAAGTAAGTAAAGATTACTTACTTTACTTACTTAGTATTGTATTTGAATAATTTACGTTATGTGCTGGGAGCTCACCATTCATGTGAGAGGTCCGCAATTCAGAATACTTGAGTCCTGTGTCCGCAATGTTCAAGAATAACGTTTTTGCACTTCCCTAAAAAGTTTTTGCACTTCAGTAAATGTCCAGACCATGATAACTGTGACATTTGTGTTGAGCAGTTTGAGTTTCCTCATTTTTCTTATTGCCTTTGAATAATATGAGGGACATGAATCGCAATATATTGCAGAATCAAATTTTAATACTTCAATACCAATTCCCCTCCTATTGGAAAGGAGTATGAGCTTTTCCCCCCTCTGCTGTGGACCTGGTGAAGGCAGAAGTTAGAAGAAGCGAGCCGCAGAAGCTAACCTATGCATTCTACACTTTACATACATTATTTTTTGTTTTATTTTATTTATTAAGGCTGCTTTTTATTCTTAAAAGGTTTAGTTAGTTGTCCGTGTTATCTTACCGGGGAAAAAGAGCCCTGTCACGTTCTGAGATGAGATTGTCTGAGTGAGTCTCTTTTCACTTTTCTTTCTGAAAAAGCTTATCTAAAGTTGTGACAATTTGTGAAAACCAACTCACATTAGCCAGGAATAGTATTTTTTTTTTGTGTGTGGTTTAAAAGTTAGGTACCCCAGATTTTCTATTCCATTTGAAATTCCCAATACATGGTCTCGTTATTCCAGCTTTTACAAGCTATTATTACTGTTGAGAGAAAACTTGTGTGATGACTTTATTGTGAGTCATGCTTATGCCATATTAAGTCTGTTTTTATTAGCATCTGTCGCTTGTCTCCATGGAAAAGTCTTTGTCTTTCATAATATCTTCCACAATTATGGCATTGAAGTTACCTCCGTGGAGACAGACAGGCTCCGAAGACAGATCAGTGAGAGAAGATTCCCCGGTAGATTGTGCCATACACTGGTCAGAAAATCCCGAGTAATGCCCTCAGGAACATTTAACTATCACACAGACTTGAAAAATAATAATAATAAAAAATAAAGATTCTCTGAGTTCATTTGCAAAAACAGATACATGTTTGTTTGGATAAAGTTGTATTCCTGTTGCTACAATCTTCAACCTGTTTTGTAGCAGTAAATTTGAAATCATTTGCTCTAGACAGGGTGACACTTTATTTGTATGGCACTAAAATAAATCTGGATTTCCAAAGGACTACTCGGTAAAGGGCAATCTGTAAGCCTCTCAAATATGTTTCTAATGGCTTTCTGTTTGTTTGCAAAATAACTGGGTTTTTTTCCGTTTCTTTTCAAATATAGAAAAGCTTTTTCAGACAACACTAATGTTATATGCACAGGAAGTCAATGGGCCTCATTCACGAATAACTTCGTAAGAAACTTCTTAAATTTCTTCTCAAGTCGTTCTTAAGTAGATTTCTAAGAAGACCCCACGTGGGATTCATCAACACGCTCTTAAGGCGCTGAATTATTCGCAGCTGTTCTCTCAGATTGATGAATGCCAACTTCTCGTAAGTACAGCGTGCGTGCCCGGTGCCTCATTAGCAGAGGTACTTAGCATAGGTAACCGCCCATTAATGCCCATATAAGGGACTGCAGGGCCGTGTGCAGACGCCAGAGGAAAAAGCAACATGCCTAAAGCAAAGAGTTACACAGAGAAAAAGAGTCACCCTTTTTTCTTCTTTTGCCAGACTGAGAATAAAGTTATAAAATCTTGACTTAAAAGTCGAAATATTATGAGAATAAAGTTGAACTAGCAAAATTATGAGATTAATCTAAAAATATGATGAGACTAATCTCAAAATGTTATGAGCTTAATTAAAAAATATATTATGTATTAATTTAAAAATGAATCTCAAAATGTTTTGAGATCAATTTCAAAATATTTTGGACCCTGGGAGGAGATCCAGCGCGGACCAGCGCTGAGACCAATGCAGACCCGAGGAGAGACTGGAGTGACCAGCACACAGAAACCAGCGCAGACAAGAGACCGCATAGACCTGACTGGAGCCAGCGCGGACCGAGGAGAAACCAGACTGAAGAGACCTGACTGGAGAGACCGGTGCGCAGAGACCAGCGCGGACCGAAGACAGACCGCATAGACCAGACTGGAGAGACCAGCGCGGACCTGTATGGATCCAGGAGCGTGCAGCACGAACCCGAATGGAGAGACCAGTGCAGACCCGTCTAGAGTCATGGGAGAGACCAGTGCAGACCCGTATAGATCCATGGGAGAGACCAGTGCAGACCCGTATAGATCCATGGGAGAGACCAGTGCAGACCCGTATAGATCCATGGGAAAGACCCCGCAACCTCCTGCAGCAGCAGTATATTATTATATATTACATTTCATTTCAAAATGAATTAAAAAATAGGCTAAATTACCATAAAAAATTAAATAAATAAATACAATACATCAATATGACGGACATATCACTGTAATGTTTTGTTTTATTGAACTTCACAACACCAGCGTGCAAACGTGTCGGCACTGAATGTGCGTACGAAATTTGTTCTTAAGTACGGTTCGTGAATGAGGCCCAATGTTATCATCATAATTAACTGTTGTCAAGCTCTTTTATAAACCACTCCTGATTATGGATATTCTTGGAATTTGAAATGTACTTCTATATATTCTCATATGCATCATGTGTGCTTGCATATATTAGTAATTCTAATAAATTGTTTGTTGATTTTTTAATATTTTTGTATGCATTTTTTTTCTGCATGCCGCTGGAAAAATGGTGCTGTGGCAAGAGTTCTGGTGTGTACTGGTGCACACTGGTGTAATCTTGAGGTTTTACTGCAAATGGCAAGTAAATTCTTGTATCTTGATACTTTATACATGCCTTATTCTATTTTTACCTATATAACTTGTTTGAGAGCCAAAGCTGTTTCCTAGTTTATGACTTCCTGTTACTCAAAATGGCAATAAAATATGATTCTGATGCTGATTATAATGAATTTGGAAGTTTGATTATATCCCAAGTCATATGCAACATCTGAACATTCAGTTGAGATCTGATCATTGGATCAAGCAGGTGGGCCTCAACGGAGAAACAGTGCAGTGTTCAGTATAATGAGGCCAAATTCAACTTGTCACTTAAAGCTGGGTGTACCTGACTTTTAAACCACTCAAAGTGTAATATTATCCATTTAACTAGTTCCTCGCTCTCAAAACAATTCAGTTCCAACACTAGATTATACATAATTGTATTATTAGCCTCTGTCACCAGTTCAACTCTCTCAGACAGATATGAAGAGCTCCACCCTCCCTCAGCCGACCAGCCCAAAGCATCAAAAAGTGACTCACAAGGCCTTTTCTTACAAGAATGCAAAAGATCACATGTTTTCTAACAAGATAAAGACATGTTCTGGTCTGGTTTCTCCACAAAATGTTTATATTACAAGAACATTTTCTGTTGGGACAATAAATAAATAAATAATAAATGAAATAAAAGCAAACTAACACTAAAAAATAACCGTATAAAGGAAAATTATCTATGCTATGTCATTATTGATGTAATTGTTATTTTTCTTGAATTATACACTTTCAAAATTGCCCATTTGGATCAAAGCACACAAATTCTGCTCAATATGTAGAACTTCATTACCCGGTGATATCTGTCAACAGCGGTTATCCACCCATTCCATTGTGGTCGGCCTAATCAGCCTTAACCTTACACCAGGGCCACGGCTTTTTCCTCGACCTCCGTCAATTTAAACACAATTTGACCATAATAACCCACTGTTAGCATCACAGAGACGACACCTTCGAGCAGAATCACCAACTAATGGGATCTAATCTATACAATAAGGGACATTAATATATATGCAAATCAGGACGGGCCCTATCTCCCACCGGAGACTTGGCACGCACTTCATATCATCTCTGTCACACCAGTCTCATACTTGTTAATTACTGTTAACATTCCCAAAATGCAAATATGCTGCAGAGTATAGGAATAGTTACAGCACATGTATGGTTAAGTAAGACCGGAGATATGGGCCCCTTCCCCCTTCGGAGCAGGCCAGTGTTGGGCAGAGGGGGTATGAGGGCCGCCTGTTCAAAGCCACTCTGTGCATTGTTGGCCAGTAAGGGATTAGTTCTCTTCAGGCTCCAGAATTTGCTTTCTAATTAAAAGGGATAAGATGTAGAAAAATAGCGAGGGGCATTACAACTGTAGGAGCGTGGGGGTGGAGAGGACTGTGCTCTGTAGTGTCACTACTGTTTGATCACAAGACTCAGAGTTACCAACAGTTACTTTGTTCCCCTGGGCTCCACAAAGACACTGTCAAATATATGAGAAAACCTGAAGATTAGCATTAATGATGTTGTTATTGTGAGACGATTTTGAGTTGGTGAGACACGACTGTC